TGCTGCTTAAAGCAGGTATCTGGTTTGTTTGTGTTCTATAATTGAAACACTGTATCAACTCCACCTCTGAGATCCCGGCTGGCTGAATGCAGGTTTCTTGGCTTTTGTTTAGCTTCTATATTTCTAACAATGTTTCAAACTGCAAGCTCAGAGGCCGGCAGCAGGCAGGTGGGGAAAGTTGGAGTCCTCTGTCACTGAAGCAAGCAAGCCTCATGTTAGTTTCAAGCTGCCTGGCTGCCGGCCGCCTTCTTGGCTGGCAGTTAATTTGCATATTGCCCTGATTAGCCAATGGGAAGGGTAGCGGTCATATGCTAATTGCCATGTTTCTCGTTTATTAGATAGGATTTTTTATTGATTTGTTTGAATGTGTAGTTGATTATAGTTCAAACTGAAACAGCATCTTTAACTTTTATTTAAATAACACATGATTTTCATTGATATAACTGATCTCCCTGGAATTAAACCTCTCTCTGTCTAATTTTTCCTTAAGTAGTGTGGCCTTTGTTTTTATAGTTTGGGGCTCTTCATGGAGTTGATGAATTTCTCTAGTTTTGATCAATCATATTTTATGGGAAGAATGAGCAATGTGCTGATAACATCCTCTTGCTTTATCTATAATACCGTGTTTTATATCTAGCTATTTAAAGCAGACTTCAGATTTCTCATACAAATCTGTTTCATCTTCTGAGAACCAAACTTTATGTTTAGGCTGGATTTATGTTTAGGGCCTTTGCAACGTTAGGTTAAGTTTCATGGTACCAATTTTGTGTGTGTATGTGTGTGTGTCTTTTCCTTTATGTTGTTTGGTTTTTGTTTTTGCTTATCCTTTTGAGATGTGATCAATTAGCTCTATCTTTTTCATGTTTGTTTTATTTTTTAATTTCAGAATATCTTGCTGATACTTATGTATCTATGAAATAAGTTTATTTGTAGTTATGTAGTAGGACATATAATTAATAGCTTTCTGTATTAAATACTGTTACTCAAGTTCTAGGATTATGTTAAAGTGAATTTGGTAACAACTTAAAGTTCTCTTATTTTCTGATGTTGTCACGAGGACAGTAAACTAATTTGACCATTTGTAAAGTATATTCTTATTGTGGAACATGAAAAATAAAATGAAAGTAGTGAAAGCAAAGAGTCTTATAATGTGTTAAACACAAGTGGTTTTTAGAGTGTGGTTCTTGGACCAGCAGTATTAGGATCTCCTGTGAACTTGTTAGAACTGCAAGCTCACAGGTTTGTTCAGCTTCGGAGTTTCGGGACTCAGTAGTGTTTCCACAAGCCATCCAGGTAATTCTGGTGTTGCTGAAGTTTGAGAACCTCTGAGTTACACAAAGATGGTACAAACACACTGATGCATTCAATTGAAAGAAGTCTTATAGGTAAATATATTTGGTTAATAAACATGAAAACATCACGTAGTTTAACTTTTGTTCAAGGGGATTCTGCTTTATAAGAGGAAATTAATCAGTGTTAATGTTTCTTGATGTGGAAAGTTATACTGAACATGAGACTATGATACCGAGGAAGTTTGTGATTCAAAGTATTTTTATTGGCACTGAAAATTTAATAGGACTCTTTTCCAATTTCCTTTTCTACTAACCCTACCTGAGCAAATAGTTTTGAAATTGCTAGTCTCCTTTCAGTCTCTTTGATACCTCATTATCAAAAACTCTTTGAAAGGGCTAGAAAGATATTATTGTAGTGTCTTCACCTTAACCAAAATACTGTGGGAAAATAGGGATGTGGAAAGGGCCTTTACTCTCCTGAAATAAATGTTTGTAGTTTTTATTTAAAAATGATACGTGGTGATCATCCCACTATGGTGTGTAGAGATAATAGTAAATCAGTTTTAACTAATTACTTGAATTAGTATTTGAAGAACTTTTTATGGAGATGGTTTACATTATATTAATTTAAATCTTATATAAATGATGGCATTTTGTTACATTTTTTTGTGTGTGTGTGTGTGTTTTTTTCCAGGAGAGAAATAGAAACAAACAATAACCATATGAAGATGTCCTCTTAGAATTACAACACTAATGATGTAGACTCTGGAAATGCCTAATAAGTCAAAGAAGACATTATTAAAGCTTTTTTTTCTGCATAAGGTGACATCTTTGAACTTTTTAACACAGAATTGACTCTTGTAATGATTTTCATCAGCGCATCTGCCCTTATATTCTCACCAAACACACTTGAGAACTGTAACTTCGTCAAGCACTTTCTGTCCTGAAGCTTTTACCAGTATCTGCTGTCTTTTGTAATTATGCATCCTAGCTAAGGCACAGAAGACTGAATGAATGCAGATTCATTAACTCTTTGAATTTGTTAAATACTAACAGTTAACTATTAGAAGTGGTTCAATGATGTAAGAGTCACATTGCTTCAACATTTCTTTGTTGTAGTTTTTAAATTGTCAATTTTTAGCTATTTGACAGATTAAAAGCAAAATAATCATGCCATATTTAGTCCTGGAGTTCAAGTCTAAATGTTTATGTGAAGAATTATTGTAGTAAACTTTTAATATGGCAAAGCAACCTTAAGCTCTATTTTAGCCAAATGAAACATAATCTGAGATTATATTAGAACATTTTCCTTGTCTTTAAATTGTTTGGTGTAACAGAATATTGATATGCAGCTTGGTGGATTTCACCAGTTAATGCACATTCTTCTTTCCTCCTTCCCCCAATAATATGTAAACTGAAAAATGTGCATTTGTCTGAGGAATTATTTTGTTTGCTATCACTTAATGAATCTCAAAATTTTGAGTAAATGTACCTCAGTCTAATCAGACTTTTTATGACCTTTATAACTACATTTAAAATCCTTAATTCCTATTTCTGGGTGTTTGCGAGCCTGATTGCTATCATGAAGTAAACATTTATTACTCTAGGTATTCACTAGCTAAATAAACATAGTTCTTGTTTAGCAAATATACTGTTCAACTCTTTTCTCCAGCTTTTGCAGTGTCCTGGCATCCTTAAAATACTTTGAAAATATGGCCTTGTTCCATGGAGAAAAT